CTTTTGATTGTTTGTTAGAAAATGGATATATGATGTTAGATCTACTAGTTTAAGTTAAACCCAGTTGAAAACAAATTAAAACACAGCAAAAACGAGCTAAAAATGAGTTGGCCGCAATTGTTAGGGTTTGACATAAGCTTGGGTGTGTTGGAGAAGATGAAAGGTAAATTACGATTTTGTCCTTCATTGAATAAATCTACCACTACTATAAATAAATATTATAAGTCTACCACTACTACAAATAAGTCTACCACATATTATAAATCTACCACTACCACATATTGTAAATCTACCACTATTATAAATAAATCTACCACAACTGTAATTAAGTAAGGTCATTCTAGTAAAACTCTGAAAAGATTTAATAAGTCTACCACAAAGACAAATAAGTCTACCAAATTTAATAAATCTACCACAACTTTAAACAAGTCTACCATAGGACGAAACCATAATTAAGTCTACCACCACTAAATATAAGTCTATCAGATATTATAAATCTACCACTACTATAAATAAGTCTACCATCGCTAAACATCAATAAGTCTACCAATCAAAAAATTAAATCTACCATCACTACAAATAAGTCTACCGATCATAAAATTAAGTCTACCAGTACTACAAATAAGTCTACCACATCTTATAAATCTACCACTACTATAAATAAGTCTACCATCGCGCAAACCATCAATAAGTCTACCACTACTACTAATAAGTCTATCACTGACAAATAAATCTACCATAACTATAAATAAGTCTATCATCGCACGAACCATCAATAAGTCTACCAATCACAACAATAAATCTACCACAACCACTAATAAGTCTATCACTCAAAAATAAATCTACCACAACTATAAATAAGTCTACCACTACAACGCATAAGTCTACCGTAACTACTCAATAAGTCTACCACAACTTACAATAAGTCTACCACTACTTACAATAAGTCTACCACTACTATAAACAAATCTACCACTGCCTGCACCGTAATAAGTCTACCGACCACTTTATAAATCTACCACTACTACAAATAAGTTTACCGATCCCAAAATTAAGTCTACCAGTACTACGAATAAGTCTACCACATATTATAAATCTACCACAACTATAAATAAGTCTACCATCGTGTACACCGTAATAAGTCTACCGTAACAGAATGGTAGACTTATTTAATTTTGGCGGAAAAAAATTTCTGCTTCATTAATGGCAGTTTCGTAAATACGTTTTTTGTC